TTTAATCCATTTTGACTTTAGTTTAGTGCATGGTGATAGACCTGGGTCAAGTTTTAGTTTTTGGCATATAGAGAGCCAGTTTTCCAGCACCATTTGTTAAAGAGGCTCTCTTTCTTCCAATGAGTATGTTTGGCCCCTTTGTCAAAGATAAGATGGCTGAGTGTGTTCGTAGTGGCCTCAGCATCTTCTAATCTATTCCATTGATCCTCAGGTCTATTTTGTTGCCAGTACCATGCTGATTTTATGAGATGTATTGACTTATGATTGACATGTTATTTACCTGTTGTAGTTTACTCCTTTTTCTCCTGAGTTTAATTGCTTGCCCTATTTAGTTGGTTGCTTCTGATCTCATCCGTAGAGTTCTGATCATTTTGGTCTCTCTCTAGAATATCTTTGAGGAGCCTCTGTAGGGTTGGCTTTGTCATCATGAAATTCTTTAGTTGTTCCTTTTCATGGAAGCATTTCACTTTTCCATCAAACTTGAAAGAGAGTTTTTCAGGGTATAGTAGTCTGGGTTGGAATTTTTTTCATAGAGGACTTGAAGTACTCTGCTCCTTGCTCTTCTTGCCTTCATGGTTTGTGAAGAGAAGTCGGCCATAATTCTGATGGGTTTTCCTTTGAATGTGATTTGCTTCTTTTCTCTAGCGGCTTTCAGTATATTATCCTTGTGCTGGATTTCTGGGTTCTTGACTATTATATGTCTCAGTGTGTTTTCAATTGGGATGAGGTTACTTGGCATTCCGTATACTTCGGTTACCTGAATGTCAGATTGTTTCCTCATATATGGGAAGTTTTCTATTCCTTCTGCCCATATTTTTTTAATGTCTTTTGTATTGACTCCTTCTTTCTCATTGATACCTATTAGTCTCACATTGTTCTTCTTTGTATCGTCTTGCAAATGATAAATTATTTTTTCCTGCATCGTAGCTGTTTTTAAGCGATCTTTTCTTACCTTTTCACTAGCTGCACCAGCGTCTTCAAGATCTGAAACTATTTGTCTTCACTTTCACTCAAATGGTTTTGCAAGCCTGTGATTGAGATTTTAAATTCCTGTATATCTCTTTGACTCTGCTTCATGCGATCTATTTCTTTCCTGTATTGCTCATTCAAGGAATCCGCCATTTTTCTAATCTCCTATTTTTTTTTAAATCAATGTCTTCTTTAGAAGCAGTTATTAATTATTTTACTGCAGAGTTTTTTTGAGATTGGGTTTCCTCCCTATGTTTCTGTAGTTGATTCTTTACTTCAGATGCTTTGAATTCAGAGAATTTTTTTTATTTCACAAAAGAATTCCGCTCTGATTTCCTCTATAATTTTCTGCTGTTGTTTATACTATCAACGCTATTAATTCATACATTTGGGCTGAGCTAGTGTCCTCTGCACTTGTTCTGGGTGGTCACTGGGTTTCCTCCATATGTTTCTACATTTGATTCACTGCAGATGCTATTAATTCAGGGATTTCTTTTTTCATTTCTGATCTGAGTTCCTCTATACCTTTCTGTAGTTGTTTCTTTATTTCAGAAGCTATTGATTCATTGATTTCAGCTGTGTCATTCCCAATTTGTTCTGTGTCAGTGTCCCTTGCACTTGTTATGGGTGGGCTTGGGATCTGAGACTGCATTTTGTTCCTTCTCATTGTCATTTTGTGTAGCACTGTCTTCTGACCTTTGTTGTAGAGCTTTGTTGCAGTTATAACCTTAGCACCTACTGAAATTCAGGTGCAGATCTACAAAATTCTGATTTATCCAGCTGTGCCTGGCTTGTGTCTGGCTGCTGTGCTCAGCTCCTTCCTGTTGTCACCCTTGGGAGTGAGCCTGTTGTGCTCCTCTGGCAAGATGTTCTGCTCCTGGACTAGCTGGGTGGTTCTGTCCCCTACTCTCTCTGCAGGGATTACAGCTGCAGGGTTTCACCCCAGGCCTGTATGCCAGGCCTGTGCTGAGTCTGGAGGGCACAAGGTGGAGTAGTGGGGAGAGGAAGCTCTCCCACACACTCACCGGGCCTGGGATAAGTCTGGATCTGGGTGTCCCCAGAACATGGCAGAAATTCTCACTGGTCGGGCAAGGTGGGGGGGGGGGTGCTGTGGAGTGGTTGGGGTGCCCAGAGGGGCTTGAAGGGAGTCTCTGCCATGCTGCCCCTGGGCTTGGAACAGCTGGTTCTGCTGGTGCAGTGTAGCCAGAAGCTCTCCTATCGACTCACCGGGCCTGGGCTAGGACTGGATCTGGGGGTACTCAGAATGTGGCAGAAATTCTCTCTCGGCAGGTGGGGTGGGGGGGTGCTGCAGAGTGGTGGGTGGGTCCCAAGGGGGTGGAAGAGGGTCTCACCCATGCTGTGCCTGGGCCTGGACAGGCAGGTCCAGCCTACTCAGGGTAGCTGGAAGCTCTCCCATACACTCACCAAGCTAAAATTGATACTAAGTAGGCATTTTAAATATAATACCAAGTTGTTGGCAGGACTATCTTAACATGCTCTTAATTTTTTTCATTTAATATAGAATGGGACCCAGTAGTTTTGATTTTTCCATTCTTATGAAATTTTATCTTTACACAAGTGGCATTATTAAATAATGAATTTTTTGCATAGGAAACCAGTATTACTATTTTCTAACCACCTAGTTGGTAACTGCATAGTAGTCTGTGTTTTACTTCTAATAAACATAACCTTCTATTACCTGTTACATATTAATGTGCTCTTACTTTCCCATACACCATATTCTTAGCCAATTTATTTGCCTACTTAAAATAGCCCCTCTGTAATGTCAATCTGTTTTTCCACACTATATCTATATACCTTGAGGGCTAGAAGACTGTCCACTGTACAGTTGATGTCCAGGGAAACTGACTTTCCCATGATTTCCTGCAGTGCCTCCCAGTGCCTTGGCTTGAGGCAGGGGTTTCCCAGTGCTATGATGATGGGCACCTCTTGCTTAAAATCTGTCACTGATCGTTTAAGATGCATTACCACTTCATTTTTAGGTAAACCTGCAAACATCAAAGAACCAGGAGGTGTATTTTTAACCAAGCTAATTTTTTAAAGAGAATACAAATTAGAATTAAAACAGTGGGGGCCTGCCCATTAGCTCAAGTGTTTAAGTGCCTGCTGAAACAAAGCAGTCAGGCTCAGGATGCTGTGGTTCAATCCCCTCATCCTCAAGCCAAACCAGACCTGCCCTGAAGGCATCCTGAATGCTCCCCACACAAAAAAAAACCTACCAGAATTAAAACAGAAAAAATTACAAGTGATACAGAATTTCACTTAGCAAAGTCATATGAATTTCATAGTATTTGTTGTAATACACAATGTTGTCTTCCAATCAGTTACTCCTATTACCAGATATATGCATGTAAAAGTGAATTAAGAATGAAAAAATAAAGAAGTGATTTTTTAAAGAAATTAAGAGAAAAAGTACAAACAATTGAAAAGAGGAGACAGAACAAATTACTATCTGCTCCTTCCACAGACAGTAGAAATGCACAGTACAGTTGTCCAAACCATCCTGCTTACATACAAATATCTTTCCCCCTTCACACTCTTGTCCTTATCAACTCAGTTAACTCTTTCCTTTTGAATAAGTTCATTCCCTTTTCCCAGTATCTATTGTACCCTTCAGATTCCATTTTCTCTTTCAAGTTCTCACACTAAGAGGACAATATAATGTTTGTACATGTGCTTCTTGTTTATTTCACTAAAGAGTATATTCTCTAGTTGCATCCATTTGCCAACAAAAGACTCAAATTTATCCTGTTTTGTAGCTGAATAATACTCTATTGTGTAAAAATATCACATCTTCTTTATCCATTTTTCTTTTGCTGGGCATCTGGGTTGTCTCCAGGATTTAGCTATGACAAATTATACTGCTACAAACATAGGTGCACATATTTCGCTGTGTTATGAGGTTTTCGGTTCTTCTGGAAAAATACCCAGGAGGAGAATAGCTGACTTCAATAGGATCTCCAATCCTAACTTTTTAAGGAATCTCCACACTGATTAACCAAACTAATTTTTAAAGTAAGATATTTTTCTTTAAAATTTGATAATTAATGTAATACTGATTAATTATATTAATAATTAATGTAATAGCTTATTAGCCTACATTATAATGTAAAATAAGGGAGCCTTATTAATATGACTCTTCCATATGAGTCTACTAGTGATTTAAGCAAAGAAAAGTAGTTCTCAGAATGACTGAAACCAAAGACTGTCAGAGTCATCTGAAAAATATGGTCCAGGGATGGCCAGCTCCCATACAGCTTTTTACTGAAAAGACAGATATACAGACAGATGGAACACACACATATATATTCAGGAGACTAGTATAGGGCTGAAGAGATGGCTCAGCGGCATAAATGCCTGCCTGGCAAGCACAAGGTCCCTGGTACTGCATGCCATGCCAGCCCTGGAACCTCAGGCATGCCATGCCTGCTCCAAAACAGGTGTGGTTGTCTATAATTCCAGCACTAGGGAGGCTGAGACATAGAATTATTATGAGTCCAAACTGCATAGCAAGACCCTATATAAAAAAGAAGAAGAGGAGGAGAAAGGAGGAGTAGGAAGAGAAGGAGGCAAAGGAGAAAAAGATTAATATAGTAATATAGTTCTAAATTTTTCCAAAGTTAAGAAAAGCACCAAGAGAAAAAAAAAATCCACCATTGTTATCATTATCTGGCATTTAACAATGCCCGAAATGTAGGTGACAACTCTGCCATATACTATCACTAGTCTGTGTTCTGGCATTTAACAACTATGGAGGAAAAGGTCTCAAAGACCTTTCCACGGAGAGACACAGCAATGGAGGGGAGCAGTAGGTGTGAAGGACTGCACTAGCTGGTGGTGAGTGCTGAAGGCTTTATCATCATGTGCTTGCATGAAGCATTTTGGAGAGGGGCCCACTGAGCTCAGAACTCAGAGCTGCTGCTCTCTCCATTGAGTGACTCCTAGCTAGCCTCAGGTCCAGGGAAGGTATAGTGATGGCTGCAGGCTGCCACAGGGTACAGGCTCACTGAGATTATTCACTGAGCTGCCAAGAAGCTACTGCCGGCATTTTGGGGATCAATCAACATGGATTGGGACTCTGTCTCCACACATTGTTTATGAGGGACAGCAGAGACAAACGGGGAAGTGTACATTTTTTTTTCTCTCCTGCTGGGTTTTGTTGTTGTTGTTGTTGTGTTTTTTGTTTGTTCATTTGTTTTCTCAGACACAGACAGGTAGAATGGATCAAGAAGCATGATCCAACAATATGCTGCATACAAGAAACACATTTAATTAAAAACAAAATTCATACATTGAAAGTCAAAGGATGGAAAACAATACTCCGTGTGACAGGAGCTAAAAAAAAAAAAAAAAAAAGCAGGCATAGCTATTCTATTTACATAAAAGTGAATTTCAAGCCAAGGCTGATTAAGAGAAATAAAGAAGGTTACTACATTTTTGTAAAGGGAACAATCCAAGAGAAAGAGATATGGGGTCTGGGGAGATGGCTCAGTGGAATAAGTGCTTCCCTGGCAAGCTCAAGGGTCTGAGTTCAATCTCCGGTTCTGCCAAAAAAAAAAAGAACATGAGGAAGAGATAACATGGCAATCATTAATATATATGCAACAAATACAAGTATACCCAACTATATAAAATATAAAATATTGATGGCATGAAAAATCAAATAAGCATTAAAACAACTGTATTGGGGGACTTAAATCCTGCACTGTCACAAAAAGACAGATCAACTAGACAAAAAAATCAATGAAATAACAGAACTGAACCAAACTTTTAAAGAAATGGATTTAGTAGTTGTCTTCAAAGTGTTCCATCCCATAACATCAGAATACACATCTTTCTCAGAATTCTCCAAATTAAATCACATACTAGCTCATAGAACATGCTCAAGTAAATAAGCAAATGCAAAGAAATTGAAAATATCCTGTGCAAGTTATGAGATCATAGTGCAATGAATTGGAAATTAAAGGACAAAAAAATAACCCCACAAGGACTTCATGAACACATGGAAATTAAATAGCACCCTCCTGAACAACCAATGGGTCACAGTGAAATTAAAAGACATTAGACGGCCTTTCGGTCCTCTCCTGAGTGAGAGCAGACTGGGGGGCCCTGAGCTCAGTAATAAACGGCTTTCCAAATTCCAAAAAAAAAAAAAAAAAAAAGACATTAGACAGTTTCTACAATTAGGTGATAATGACAATATCACATACCAGAACTTATGAGACACAATGAAAGCAGTGCTAAGAGAAAAATTTACAGCAGTGAATACCTATGTCAGGAAAATAAGCTTTTCTTCTTCCAGTTCCAGCTGCTTGGCAGCTGTGGTTTACAGTGCAGTTATAGCCAAGTCCAAGAACCACACCACGCACCAGTCCCAAAAATGGTACAGAAATGGCATCAAGGAAGCTTGGTCACAAAGATACAAATCTCTAAAGGGGGTAGATCCCAAGTTCCTTAGGAACATGCATTTTGCCAAGAAGCACAAGAAGGGCTTCAAGTGGATGCAAGCAAACAACACCAAGGCCATGAATGCACATGCCAAGGCTATCAAGGCTCTCATCAAGCCCAAGGAGGTCAAGCCTAAAATCATTCCAAAGGAGTTAGTCACAGGCTTGCTCGACTTGCCTAGGTTGCCCACCCCAAGCTTGGGAAGCGTATTCATGACTGCATTGCCAAGGGTCACAAGCCTTGCCAGCCAAAGGTCCAGGGTCCAGCTTCTACTCCAACCAAGGCCCAGGCTCCAGCTTCTACTCCAACCAAGGCCCAGGCTCCAGCTTCTGCTCCAGCCCAGGCTCCCAAAGGTGCCCAAGCCCCCGTGAAGGCTCCATAGTAAAAGCCTCTTATCTGCTAATGTAAAAACAAAAGGACTGGTGTGATCCCTGGGGGTATCTGTGGGGGCTGGTGTCCTCCTGTGCTCTTTGTACAAATAAACCTGAGGTAGGAAAATAGAGCAAGTACAAATAACCAATCTAATATTGTACCTTAAACTTCTAGAAAAAGAAGAGCAGACTAAGCCAAAAGTTCATATGGGGGAAAAAATCATAAAGATCAGAGCAAAAAATTAATGCACTGGATACTAAAAGAACAATACAAAGAATCAATGAATTGAAGAGTTGGTTCTTTCACAGATTAAATAAAGTCAACAGACCAGGGCTGGGGAGATAGTTCGGTGGTCTAAGCACATGCCTAGCAAGTGCAACAATCCAGGTTTGGTCCCTGGCACCACATGCCATGCTGGCCTCAGAACTCTGAGCATGCCATGTCAGCCACTTAAACTGGGCATGATGGCACACACCTGTAATCCCAGTGTGGGGGAGGCTGAGATGGGAGGGTTACTATAAGTCCAAGCTGCGTAGCAAGACCCCATACCAAGTAAGTAAATGATTTTTTAAAAATCAACAAACCCTTAGCCAAGCTTATCAAAAAAAGAATCAAATCCACACAATTGGGAATGAAAAGGGTAAAGTCACAAAGGACCCTGTAGAAATGCAGAAGATCATCTACATTTACTTTAAAAACTTTATTCTAATAAGATGAAAAATGCAGGAAAAATGGACACATTGCTAGATACATATAAATTACTAACGCTGAACCAAGAAGATATAAAAATCCTAAATAAACCAATATCAGTCAATGAAATTAAAGACCTGATTAAAAACCTACCAACAAAGAAAAGTCCAGGCCCTGATGGATTCACTGCTGAATTCTACAAGAAATTTAGAGAACACTTAACACCAATACTTCTCAAACTCTTTAATGAAATCGAAAGGGAAGTAATACTCCCAAATTCATTCCTGTGGCAAGTATTACCCTAGTACCAAAACTAGAGAAGCACCCAACTGAGGAAGTGAATTACAGGCCAACCTTCCTAATGAGCAAAGATGCAAAAATCCTCAATAAGATACTAGCAAACAGAATAGAGCAAATCATCAAGAAGATTATATATTATGATCAAGCAGGATCCATCCAGGTATGCAGAAATTGGTTAACATGCATAAATTAATAAAAGTAATATACCATTATAAACATAGACAAGAACAAAAATCATATGATCGTATCAATAGATGCAGAAAAAGATTTTAGCAAAGTCAGCATCCATTTGTGATAAAAATCCTACAGAAAATTGGAATAGATGGTCTTTACCTCAACCTGATAAAAGCTACATATGACAAGCCAACTGTCAACATCACACTAAAGGGACAAAAACTGCAAGCTTTCACTCTCAAATCACAAATAAGACGAGAATGTCTACTGTCTCCACCCTTATTCAACATAGTCCTGAAAACTAGTCAGAGAAATTAGACAAGAGAAAGAAATAAAAGCAATAATGATAACAAAGGAAGAAGTTGTATTATCAATACTTGCAGATGACATGATATTCTACATAGAAGCCCCCAAACACTCTACTAAAAAGCTGCTAGATTTAATAAACAAATTTAGCAGGGTAGCTGGGCACAAAGTCAACATGCAAGAGTCAATGTCCTTCCTATACACAAATAGTAAACTCACCGAGAGAGAAATTAGAGAAACCATACCTTCCACAATAGCATCCAGAAAAATGAAATACATAGGAACCAATCTAACAAAGGATATAAAAGACCTCTATGTTGAAAACTATAATATTCTTGAAAAGAAAATTGAAGTGGATATCAGCAAATGGAAGAATATCCCTTGCTGTTGGGTAAGGAGAACCAATATAGTAAAATGGCTATACTTCCACAACTGTTATATGGATTTAATGCAATTCCAATGAAAATTCTAATAGTATATCTCACTAAATTAGAGAAAACAATCTTAAAATTCACTTGAAACCAGAAGAGACCTAGAAGAGCAAAGACAATTCTGGGCAACAAAGGCAAGTCAGGGGGCATCACAATCTGACTTCAAATTATACTATAAAGCTATGGTGATTCAAAAAGAAGAAAAACAAACAAACGAAAAAACAGCATGGTACTGGCAAAAAAACCACAACATATTCAAAGATCAGTGGAACAAACTAGAAGTTGTAGAGACAACTCCAGACATTCAGTCACCTTTGGTACTGTATTTGATAACAGTACCAAACATTCACTAGAAGAAAGATAGCCTCTTTAATAAACGGTGCTGAGAAGAACTGATACTGCACATACCAAAGATTAAAACTGGACAAGTTTCTTTTACCATGCACTAAATTAAATTCAAAATGGATCAAAGATCTAAATATTAATACAGAAACATTAAACATGCCAGAAGATAGAATAGGTAAAATTCTCGAAGACCTTGGTGTAGGCAAAGACTTTATGAATTAAAGTGGAACCATCACAAAGAATCAACAACTGGGATCTCATTTTATTAAGAAGCTTTTGCACAACAAGAGAAATCACCAACAGAGTGAAGAACAACCCACTATGTGAAAAAATGTTTGCCAGATGTTCCTCAGACAAAAGAATACTATCAAGAATGTATAAAAGACTAAAAATACAAAATAAAATATTGGACCTCCAAAATTTAATGACACAATCCAAAAATAAGTATTGGAGATGAATGCATATTTTTAGATGAAAAAATATAAACAGCAAACAAATATATGAAAAAATGTTCAACATTATTGGTCATTTGAGAGATGTAAATTAACACAACACTGAGATTCCATCTTACCCCAGAAAAAAATGACATCATCAAGAAATCAAACAATAACAAATGCTGGTGAGGCTGCAGGGGAAAAAAGAACCCTTCTCACTGTTTGTGGGAGTGTAGACTGATACAATCAATCACTATGGAAATCAGTGTGGAGATTCCTCAAAAACCTAGGATTGAAGGTCCTTTGAACCACATATTTCCCTTCTGGGTATCTTCCCAGAAGATTAAAAACATCTCACCATAGAGATATATGTGCACCAATGTTTACAGCAGCAGAGTTTGTAATATCTAGCTCTTGGACACAACCCAAATGCCCATCTATTGAGGAACAGATAAAAAAGATGTGACCTTTTTATATAATAGCATTTTACTCAGCCATAAAGAAGAATAAACTGGAGATTTTTACAGGTAAATGGAAGCAACCTGAGATCATACTCGTAAGTGAAATAAACCAGATGCAAATGTATGAACATTGTATTATCTCCTTAGGGTAAGAATGGGAAAGAGTAAATAATATCCCAAATGTACAAAATATATTATATAATGGCCAAAAAAACTTCAAAAGGAAAAAGAAACTGGATTGGGGGAATAGAAAAAAAAATAAGGGAAAAGCAAAAGGGAAAAAATATATATGATAGTTAAGATAGGTATACTACTACTTTCTCTTAGTTCATTGAAAAGATAGGATTGTGCTAAAATTGTTTGAATAAACACCAGCCAGATAGCTCAGCAGATTAAAGCACCTGCTTACGCAGACACAGGAACCAGGGTTCGATCCCCAGTGTGCCATGCTGGCCCTGCCCCCCGGGTGCACTGAGAGGACAATTGAGACTGGGAGTGATGGCATGCCTGTAATTCCAGCACTTGGGAGACTAAAAACAGGAGAATCACCACAAGTCCAATTTGTGTGGTGAGACCCTGTAGACCCTGTACTAAATGCATAAAAAAATAAAATTGTTTGAATAATTAAATGCTGATATCTTGTAGTCTGAGTAACTAATGTAAAGATAAGAATGTGCAATATATTAATCATTGTTACCCTCATACATTGTTTCGGAATTTTGTTTTTGTTCTTTTTTCCTTTAAAATAAAGTGAATAAAATCTGTCAAAAAACTAAAAATAATCTCTACCCACAATCTTGAAAAACTAGTTTACACATTTACACAGAGGAGAGTTTTTTATAAAGCTACACTGAATAGGAAGATATTGGGCTGGGGAGATGGCTCAGTGGAATAGGCGCTTCTCTGGCAAGTGCAAGGGCCTGAGTTCAATCCCTGGTTCTGCCCCCACAAAAAAGCTATTTTTCTGGTTAAATACAAGATGGAAAATTAAAAAAAAAAATAAACACACACAAATAAATAAATAAATGTAAGATGGAAAGAATAACTTTGGGTTTTACTAATTTCAGCTTTGGCAATGAACAGATTTTTACCTGGAAAACTATAAGAAAAAGTACATTTTGTCAGCTGGTTGCTATATATATGGTTCTCTAAAACATGTATATGGCAAAATATTGAGAAAGAACGCATACAATGAATGTTATGGTAAAGCAGTAAGACTATGATTTTCCACAACTTGTGTGTGTGTGTGTATGTTTCTAAATAGTTTGCAAAAACTAAAAATGTTTTCTTTTTTTCCATAATTTTATTGAGAAATAAATAGCAATGAGACAATTTCAAAGGAAATTAATTGGTAGGACAGTTCCAATAATTAACACACTGCATACTGCCCTCCTAGTGGTTATTTGTTTTACAAGATGCAGACATGATATCCTATTTACAAACACTATTAGAACAAATCCCTCTATTCCTTGAATTAAGAGAATGTAACTATATATCTATCCTAACCATTTTGAATACACAGATACAAAATGGACATTCATCTGTATCCCCTTTTATGTTTAGTTCCGTGATTTAAATATTATAGGTGTGTGAACTCAGCAAAATATTCCAAAATAGTCCAGTAGTCCATAATAGTATTGGGTCTTCCGCTTCACTAGCAATGTCAGAAGTTGTTGACCTGAGTCCCCTACAGCTCAACATAACACCATGGCTTTACTTCCTTTACTTCATTTTTATACTTTTCTGCTGGATGGTTAAGACCAAGATAAAGCAAGACCTATGTAACAAGAGTTGTAGCTTTTGGATCTAATAAGGTCAGTGAAATCCCCTCAGGATTTATCCTGAGACCTTGTACCTCAGATTGTAGATCCTTTGTCAGTGTCAGCCATGTGGATGAGTCATGGCCAATGCTTGGCCAATTTGCTCTCTGTGAAAGTAAAAATGTTTTCTGACTTTATTTTTTTGTGGTGGTACCAGGGATTGAACTCAGGACCTTGCGCTTGCCAGGCAAGTATGGATTTCACTGAGCTATTTATCTCCCCAGCCCCTGACTTTTCTGGAGAAGAAATTTTAGCTCAAATTATAGGTAGGTGGGAAAGGTGGAAGCTAATAAAAAGGAAAACAATCTCTTGCCCAGGTGAAGCAAAACGCTCTGCTATACCTGTCCAAAGTATAGTATAGGCATAGCAGAACACAGAGGCTGGGGTTTGAACCAGGGCCTGCCATGCCAGCCCCGCCCCGGGGGAGCACTGAGACAGCAATGGAGACTGGGCCTGGTGGCACACACCTGTAATCCCAGCACTTGGGGGGATGAACACAGGGAAATCACTACAAGTCTGATGTACGGATTGACGCCCTGTAGATCCCGTAGACCCTGTCCTAATTACAGAAAAAAAAATTGCAGGTGACCCCTTATCATAAAGGGAATTCTGTCCCAAACTGGGAAAAGTCAGGAATCAACTTTTAAAGGTTATAAAAACTGTTTTGATGATTTAATTGGGGGAGGAAGACAAAGCTCTAATGTCTTTTGCTTCAGCAAACATTCCCTATACGGACTCTTACTCCTCTGTATCTCAGTATCTGTGACCAGTGTTCATGACCAAGCATAGGTCTAGTAGCATGGCCATGGTTGGAGACCCCGGTGCCCAGACACCATTTTGTGTGTGACCCCAGGTGGGGGAAAAAGTTGAGAAATGCACTTTTACCTTTTTCTAGTATGAAGATCTTACGCAGCCATTTGGAAACTTCTCTCTGCACCAAATCTATATCAATACTCTGAATAGAACAATTCCTCCACTCCTCAAAGAGTGTGCCCCATTCTTCCTGTGCTTCCCAAAGTATTTTCCTCAATGTTAAGTCACAATCAATGTCAGAGATCTCTGCAAGCATAATCTGTGTGACTTCTTCCACATTGAGAGAATGCATCTGAGCCTGGGAGTCACAGAAGCGATCCTGGTAGTTTGCATACATTCTAGCTTTGTTAGCCAGACTGGCTGCCTCCTCAGAGAGATCCTGGATTATTTCCTTTGCTGTTGGCACACTGGTGCTGGGCGACAGCAGGACAGGAGTTCTTATCTGAGAAGCAGCAGTAAGACATTCTGAGAGCACCAGACTTTCAGAACTCAGCACACTTCACTGACAATTATGCCGGTGTATGGGTAATTCTTAACAGGATAGGTGAATAAAGTCAGGACTGCTATTACCACTGGACCCAGACAAAGGCTCAAGAGGATGCAAGGTATTAGCCCTTCCCACAACCAGCAGCCCTCACCATCTGCTGTAGTTCATGATAAAAGCTAGCAGTCCTGCTGCTGAATATCATCTCATTCATTTACAGGTGAAGGAAATATTAAATTCCAGTTAGAGGTTACTGACAATTGAGATGTAATTTTATTTCCTATCCAAGTTCACTAATTATTATTATTATTATTATTTTTTTTTTTTTTGCAGAACCAGGGATTGAACTCAGGCCCTTGCACTTGCCAGGGAAGCGCTTATTCCACTGAGCCATCTCCCCGGCCCCTTCACTAATTATTTAATGCCTGGATTAAATTGTTTAGCCAAAATAAATAAATAAATAAATAATTTAGCCAAGATTCCATTGAAAGTAAATACCTCCCCAGTTCTGCCAAAAAAGAAAAAAGAAAGTAAATACCTATATGCATAGCATTACATGAGAGTTAGATCAAGTTTTTAATGAGAATAAACAAAAAACAAAGAATAAGCTTACTTTGGCTTTTAAATTACTAATATCCACTCGGAGATCCGTGACAAATTCTTCCAAATTATCATGAAATTTAGTTATGGTGGCATCTTTATTTACTTTACCGAATTTTATAGCTGTTCTTAGTTTATCAAACTTGATACAAAGGATTTTGTAAATGGCAACTTGCTCTTCCGAAATGTTGATCTGGTAACGTCTTACAACAGAATGCAGCTGAGAAAGTGTTAGATACTCTTTTTCTAATTCAGATATTGTTGATGAAATTTCATCCAAAAAAGTAAGGTATTCCACAAATTCTTCCATTCTAATGGGATCACGTTCCAGTTGTCGTAATGATGACTCAACAGTCTGAAATCATTAACACATTGCAATTATGTGATGATTTTTCACTATTTTAAAATTTATTCTTAATTTTTCTCACTTCTATAATTTCAGAAAAAAATGAAGATATCATCTGGGATATAATTCTAAGTACTGAACATTAACATGATCAAAATCTTCTATTGTTAACATAAGGCACTTGGATATATCACATAGGTAAAATAAATGCTACTAAGACATCACAGAGGTACTAAGTGTGAATAATTTCTTTCCATTAAATAAGTGGAGGACATATAGTAAGACCAAAATGTGAATGGTGTGCAATCATTGCTACCACTTCTTGAGCATTTATGTTCCAGTCCTTTGGGTAGGTCAGCCTATTTTATTCAAGTAGTGTGTTTGCTAATTGTCATTTCCTCTGCTTTGTACAGGAAGTCTCAAAGTGGTTATTTAGCCCAAGATCGGAAAGATAATGAGTTACAGAACTAGGATCCAAAACCAAATGATTCCAAATCCCATTATTTTCTACTATGTTTGCATCCATGATGAGTACAATGTCCTTCATTCTAAATTATTTTTGTAGTGCTCTGAATCAAAGCAAATCTTGCACGTTCGAAATGAGCTCTACCACTTGAGCTATATGCCTTTACATGTTCTATAGTTTTTGAAGTAGCTGCATTTCTGTATCAAAATTAAACTTTTTGAAATTCTTTATGTTGCAAAGACTTATTAACTCATGTACATTTGGATATAATTTGAGAATCAATGCAAGTTCAATCTTCAATTTTCACAGCTTTGAATCAGTCACTTATTTAGTTATGGTTTAGATCTGGGGTGTTCCCCAAGGTCCTCTGGAGTTGGAAGGTGATTAGATTAGGAGGACAATGTACTCCTCTCCACTGATGAGTTCATAGTGGGTTTGGGCTCTGTCTTGAGGTGTGTCACTGGGGGTGTGACCTGGAAGCATACACAGTATTTCCCTCCCCTGTTCCTCCCTTCTCTCTCTGCTTCTGGGCCACCATGAGAGCAAAACCTTTCCTTTGAGCCTAGCCTCTGCATCATGACATCTCTGTGGTTAAGCTTGCCAGCCTGAAACTTCTGACACTGTGAGCTAAAAGAAACGTCTCTTCCTTCAAATTGTGGATATTGAGTATTGTGTCTCAGTGATGAGAAAGTGACAATGTCTCTAATTCCTGAAACGTTCTATTTTGCCTGATTTAGAAATGAATGTGAAAATCACAATACACAAAAATGTATAAAATGAGTTATTTACTATTCCATTGTCAAAGAAAAACAGGTGTTAATACTTATCAAAGTTTTTCCAAGGTATGTGTGTCTGTCTCTTTAAATTACAATTTATTTGAATAGCATTAAAAATCAGAGATGTATCTCATTCTCAGTTCTGATATCAACTCTGTGAATCTAGGCAAATAGCTTTGCTTAAAGAAACTTGTTCTTTCTGGCATCTCCAATATCCTGAGGTCTCCACTGCTCCACTGGCATCATTTTCCCTTTCACACCTGACCTTCTCAGAGGTTCCTTGCCTGATTTCTCAGACCTTCTTTTGAAATCTAGGTGGAAGCCCCAGTGACTCCATAACTCTTGTGCTCTGAATACCTGTACAACTAGCACCATAGGATGATGTTATGTTTAGCTGGCAGGCTGAGCAATAGACAGACACCTGTGGATCATGGTGGCAGAAGCCTCTGAGTGCCTAGATAGTTGAGCACTATGAAACAAAATCCAGGGAAGCAACTCACTAGGCATTCCTCTTCAAGCAGAAAGCCCACAGGTTCTATTTTCAAGGAAACTGAACAGTTTTGTACTTTCAAGCCTGTAAATGGTTGAGACCTTGCTGATTCTTGAGATGTTATCAAGATCTTTCCTTTTGTTGTGATGAAAAATACTGGCTTCTTTATAAGTCTAATCTTTTCAACAATCATGCTCTTTCTTTTCTTTTTTATGTTAATTTTATTGAGAAAGAAGTAGCAATGAGACAGTTTCAAAACAGGTTAGTAGGACAGTTACAATAATTAATACATTGCATATTGTTGTCTTTGTAGTAGTTATTCATAGTACAAGATGCAGACATGATATCTTGTCTAAACACTATTAGTTCAAAAGTTTCTTCTCATTGAACTAAGAGAAAGTAGCTGTATATTAATGCTAACTATTTTGTATATACAGATGTATATATTTTTTCACTACAAAATGGTCCTTCATTTATATCCCCCATTTTTGTTTACTTTTGTCAGAGATGGGTATTCCATTGCCATTCATATATTGTAGGTCATGGTCTTTATTTTCACACCCCTTATTTTGCCACGTATGTTCAGATGAAACTGTAAAGTTTTCACATCTGATTGTTTGCTCCTGGTTATTATTGTAGGTCTGGCCAAAAACAGCCACTAGTACCCACTTCATAGCCTAAACACTGGGCTTCTTTGAAATACCCTTCACTGGATTCATTAGTACACCACCCTTAATCTCAGTTTCTCACAACATCTCTAGTCATGGGCAAAATGTAGGTAAATTTTCTGACAAAGCATAACACACATGGCCTCCACTTCAACTGCCAAAGAACTCATTGTTTCCAACTGAAATAGTATTCTAGTCTTCAGAGTTTCAACCGGAATCTCCCATCAGTCTGTGCTTACACCATTCTAAGGCTTCTCTAAGTCACATCTCTAAATCTTCCCAAACTCCCTCCACAAACCAGTTCCAAAGACTTCTAAACCACATGGTCAAGTAAAGTAATAGCAACAACCCAAATTATCTGGTACCAATTTCTGTGTTAGTCAGTTTTCTTGTCACTGGTTCAAAGTACCTAACATCTACAACTTACAGAAGGAGAGGTTTACCTTTCCATGTTTTAGAGGATTCAGTCTGTAGGTGATTGGCTCTAAGGTAGAAATAGCATGCAGAAAAACAGTGCTTAACCCATAGCAACTAAGACACAGGGAAGGAGAGGAACCAAGCTCAAGAATTCACCTACGTCACGTCTCTAGCAACCCACCTCCGGCAAGGCTCCACCTGCTTAAAACAAGTCAGCTATGGTATTTCCATGATGGAATTCCTTTCCAAACATATGAGATATTTAGGCAAAATTTTATATCTAAACCATAAAACAATTTAACAAGTACCATGTTCTCTCTCCAAATGATACCTAATACCTAACCAAAAGCCAGAAAGTATGACTGACGTATTTCTCTTATTCCCTATAGTCAGTTAACCATCAGATCCTGTCAAACTCATCTCCACATCTCATTACCATTTACTTCTCAGAATCCATATGGTTTCCACCAGGGTTTAAGCTATTGTCATCTTTCCTCTAGGTTACAGAAGCAGCTTTCTTCCCACCATATCTGCCAGTATATTCTTCATACTGTAGCCAGAGCATCCTTACAAAAATGCAAACTATGTCATGTCATTTCTCTGCCTAAAACATCCACTGATTCCTATAGTTTTGAGAATAATGTTTAAAATTCCTGACAGGGCTTATAAAGCCTTACACCTAATTTCTTATTTTTTTGCTGGCCAGTCCCTTTTGTAAGACTATACTCACAATGCACTGGATTCATTCAGGTTTCCAAGTGTACCTTGTTTTCTCTGGACCTTTCAATTGCTGTCCGTGTGTGTGTGTGTGTGTGTGTGTGTGTGTGTGTGTGTGTGTGTATTTATAGGGAAGGGTTTACAGGGTGTTCAGGGTCTCAGTTTTTTTTTTCAGATGCTTGCCAGGCAAGTGCTTATTCTACTAAGTTATCTCCCTGGCCCCTCAGGGTCTCACTATTAGATCAACTCATAGTGATCTGCTGGTTTACAGCCTCCCAAGAGCTGGAATTACAGGCATGCACCACCACACCCAGTCTCAGTGTGCCCTGGGGGCAGGGTTGGCACAGCAGGACCAGGGATTGAACCCCTGGCCCCTGTGTCTGCTTGCAGGCACTTTAATCCACTGAGCTATTTGGCCAGCCCCAACTGTCCAATTTTCTGATGTGACAATACTTCAGTTTTCACTGTCTTTCTCTACCTCAGTGTCTTAGTTACTCTTTCTCATTGCTGGGACAAATACTTCACACTCAAAATGAAGGAAGGAAAGGTTTATTTAGCTCACAGTTACTGGAGGTTTCAGTCCATATTCAGCTGGGTGCAAGGCAGAGCAGCACATGGCAGAAAGCAACCTTACATGGCTGTGGCAAACAGCAAGGGCACAAGGGAGAGGAAGCAGCAGCTCAAGCAGCTAACTTCTCTTCCCTCTTTACAATTGTAATGCAAATTACCTGCCCTAAGGCAGATGCAGCATCCATACCCACAATCATCTATCACAAATTCTAGAAGCTGCCCATGACTTCATGAGGCTCTAAAGGGACACCTATACACAAACCATAACACTTAGCAACAGTTCCTGGATATGTGTAAGTACTATGCTCAGTTAAAAGATTAGATGAGTTAGGTAAGGCACATAACTAAGTTTTGCTAAATATATAAGCAAAAATGTTGGATAAACTTCTGGTAAATATCCTTGAAAGTTGAATTGAAAGGTTCTGTTTTTGCTACCATCATCCATCCTGGTGCCTAGCGTGAGGACAAGATGGTCAGAGACAAGATAACCGCCCTAGGCAATGCCCCTGAACATCACACTCTAGGGAGGACAGAGCAGTGGCTAAAAGCAGCCCATGTCCTTGATAACTTCATGAGGCCACTATACGAGCCACCAGCATATTCTCTTTCTCCTCTCTCTGTACTACTTTCACCTGAGAGAGAAATTAGATTCTAATGTGTGCTATGCACTGTTATTTTCTGTCATGTGCAACTGAATCTAAGTTAATGTAGTGTTGCCCATGTCCTCCTACTAACTTCTTTACACCATTCCTACTTCTCCTCAGAAGTGAAGATTTTTTCCTAGAAAATTATCTATTACCCCATCTAAGATATATTAGACAGTTAAACAAATATTTTCTGTTAGATTAGACTCTACAAATGCAAGAATGAATCTCTCTAAGCATTATATGCCAAGGCCCTAACACAATGTCTAGTATACAACTGAGATTTAATAAATATTTGGGATCAGATACAAAAAAAGAATGAATAGTAGCTATTATAAATTTATATGTTAAAGCATGATTGAGTACAACTGAGATTTCTTGTATAGACATGTTTGTTATATTAGAACCCATACTTATCTGAGAAAGAAGTGTGATAGGCAGGAATAATCAATGAAGGCTGCTATTTGTAGGTGCTTCCAGATTTCCATACTTTCAAAGTTCTAGAATCTCCACAGCTCCAAATCACTGTGTTTTCAGGGATAATTTTTCCTCTCAAAATCTTCCCTTAAAAAGAAACCCTAATACATAGTAAAACCCTAGTATGCACTTATATTGGGAGAGTTAGCTGAGACACTCCATAACTTGATACAGCTCACAGTCTAGTGGGAGAAAACAAATGCTATCACATCAGGGAGTGATATATGTTATAATAATGACAAAATAGGAAAAAGAGATGTGAAAATGACATGGAATGCAATTTTAGATATGGTTGTTGGAGAAAGTTTTTTTTGAGGAAGTGATATTAAAATAAAAAAGACAAATATAACAACATTGAATTGGAATTTTCTCAGGATATTTATATATATTTTTGAGTGCATATGTTAAAATTATAATCTAACATTAAATATACTTATGTAACAGAAATTTTCAAAGTACTTACTTCCAGTAGGCTTGTATTTTTTTCCTCAATTACAGATTGCAAGAGATCCTGGCTCGTATGTATGATGTTATCAACATATGGTAAGCATTCTGACTGATAATCAAAACTCATAACATTGAAAATTCCAATGCGTTTCTCAATAGGCATAGTCACAATATGTCCAAAGTAGTTTATGAATTTATGCAGTATAATATTAAACTGTGCTGAGGTTAATTCTCCCATAGATGATATATTCATGCTTATAGTTTGGGCTTTCTCTACCATGGTACAATACTTTAGAAACTTGGAGCTATAAGTACTAACAAGGCTCATTGAATTACCAATAATAGTCAGAAGACTCACAATCTGTAAACAAAAATGTTAGAAATTTTAGAAGAATTTTATTACAAGAATGAAAAAAGCATGCCTAATATGCGGATAGTTTCTATGAAAATAAACTATTAGTCTTAGATGGGGTTCATTTTGTTCAGAACCTCTACTAAATACAGAATATATTAGAATTATATAATTGTAAAACATTTCATAATTTTCTAATATTTGGCTTTTAAGATCTACTGGACTCTTTAAGTTTGTAATTAATGTGCTATTTTGAGCCATGTCCTATAGAAACCAAGTTTTTATTTTCCCTTATTTCTCACCCTGTGTAAGCGTCTATGTACCACAAACTGTCCTAAGCAAGGGTAGTCCCATACAGTGTGACTTCTACACATGACCCTAGGCTAGGCCAGTCCCATATACTTTGTCACCTTTACACATGGCCCTAGGAAAGGCCAGTCTCATACACTCTGGGACCTCATCCAATTCCCAACATGGCTAATTTGGACAAGTTCAAACCCTGACCCAAGCTGAGCCAATAAGGTTGTCTTGTGAATTTGGACAAAAATGTCCAGTTAGTAATGGATGAATTGGGGGATCACAAGTCAACATACTGAACAAACCTAAAAGAGAAAGCTCATTTGCACATGAAAGTTGGAGAAAATGGACTGCATTGAGTGGAGATGAGAGATTATGGAGAATACAAATGGAGAGGTAATCTGAGAATGATTCTTCCATTTCTGTAAATTATAATACTCCTAGTTTTTCAATAAATCCCTTCCATGAAAGAATTTTCATGGGTTTCTACTCCATAAACCAAAAATTTTCTAAGATGCACCTTTAAATAACTTACTTTATTTTGGTAGGCAGGATCCATTTCAAAAAGAATCTGACAATCTGGCCACTTGGTCTGCTTCTTATATTTTATTATACTTCCTATATTATTAGATAAATCCATAATTGGAACCAAACCAATAAAGAGAGACAGGCGAGGATCTTGGTGAAGAGGAGTAATTGTAGCTAAAATATATAATTCAAAAGTTAATATTTGCAGAAGCACTAGTGAAAGCAACACTTTAACAGTATCTGTGAAACCTAGAACTATTGAAGACTAAGGCTGATTTACTAGGATGATTAGACAATATTCCACACTAATAGATGGAACTTAGTTTAAAACTTCGAATTTAACATTAGAAATAGAAGAGTAATTCATAAATAACTAGGCAGTGGTGGTGGAGTCATTCAGCTGACCAGTATTTGAAATGTATCTGCTATGTGGAAATATATTATTATAGTACACAAATATTAGAAAACACAGACTTATTATCTAAGAATTCTTAGTCTAGGTAGAAAATCAGATGCCCACAAGGAAAGGAAAACAATCTTCACCTATACTTGGTGCCTTACATAAAAATTAACTCAAAATGAATCCTATACCAAAATATAAAACATTTTACAGAAGACTTATAAGTCTTCTTGGAGAGATCACTGTGGACAATCAGGCAGAGTTGTTTTTTGTTTTTTTTCTGAACGGGGGATTGAACTCAGGCCCTTGCGCTTGCCAGGGAAGCACTTATTCCACTGAGCCATCTCCCTGACCCCTAGGCAGAGTTTTTAGATACAAACAAAAAATACAATCCAAAGAAGAAAACATGGATGAGCTATACTTTATCAAAAGTGAGTGAGGTCTGAGACAGAGAATGATGATGAGGCACAGACTGGGAGAACACGTTTGCAAATTGTATCTCTCTTAATAGAGGACTTGATCCAGATACCGCTCACAACGCAGGAAGTAGGAGACTACACTGCAATTCTTAAAAAATAGATAAAGAAAATCTAAGGACACATTTGACAAGATGGCAAAGTAGGATAAGAAAAGATTAGTAACTAGTGAAATACAAATTACCTATAGTGAGATATCACTACACACGAGTAGAATGCCTAAAATTAAAAAAACCTAATCCCAAGTACTGTCAAGGCTGTGTAGAAACTAGATTGTTCATACACTGCTAGCAAGGATGCAAAATACCACTTTGCAAAGCCAGTGTAGTGTCTCAAAAATTAAACATGTATTTACTACTTGACCCAAAAACCCCACCTCTAACAACACAGATAGAAATGCAGAGACAATCTGTGGTACATCCAGTTAATAAAACTCAATGATAAAAGGAGAGTTTTGATTCACATAAAACATGAATGAAATATAGATGCATTTTTCAAAGTGGAAGCCAGATTCAAAGGCTAAATTCCCATTTATATGACATGTGGAAAAAAGAAAACCAAAGGACCAGAACCTGTCAGGGGCTGCAGGAGGTGAGGGCATAACCATGCAGGGGTTATTCAGGGAATTTAGGAGTGACAGCTATCTTGTTTCAAACTGTGATGGAGAATATGCTAACTTCATTTTTCAAAACTCATAAAATCACATACACAAATAGTAGCTTTTATTCTATAAATTTTTTTAAAAATCAGAATGTTGGAAGAACCCAAGATGGAATACAGATTATGGCAAATTTATGTGACTGTACTGAAAATAAATTAACCACCTCACTGAAGATGTTAGGAAAGAAAAGTTGATCTATGTAACTTTGGAAAACAGCATTTGGATTGGAAACTCTGAGGTTGGATAAAAAAGTCTTGTACTCAGTGTACATTAGGTAATACTGAGCTTCTCACAGACACTGGAACAGCAATACTTGGATCACTCTGCAGGCATAACAAGTAACTGTCATGTTGATTATATGCACCAGATTCTTCCAGTCAGCAAGGAGCTGCAGAAGGGAGAGGCTGGAATGAACATAGAGGTTCAGGACCCATGTCAGGTCTATCAGTATGAACAGTAGTTTAAAACAAACAAAAAGAAAAAGATGGGTGAAATTTTCAGTAGAAACAGTATCTCTGTATAATCTAAAAACCTACTCCCTTAAAATTCATTAATTATGAAGCGAAGTGCAGTAGGTTCCCAGTGAGGGAACCTAGCAGACGTCCCTTAATCAGATGGCCATGGTTAGCACGTCAGCACGCTCTGCACCTCAGATGATCAGTCAGAAGGACGCCCTGAGGTATTCTGCAAGAACAGACCTCAAATTCCCCAGAAGGTAACCGCAGACTGTGCCACACTAATGGGCAGTCTACAGCAGACATGACTATTGAATGCAATGTGTAATCCTGGACTGGATCCTGGGAACACAAAACAACATGAGTAAAAAACAGCTAAAATCCAAATAAAAACCTTTATACTGTCCTACTAAACCTATCTTTAGGTTTTTGTTGTTGCTGTTGTTGTTTGCTTGCTTGTTTGAGACAGAGTCTTACTATGTATGGGCGAGCCAGATAGCTCAGCGGATTAAAACGCCTGCTTAGGCAGACAAAGGAGCCAGAGGTTCGATCCCCGGCCTGCTGTGCCAGCCTGGCCCCCAAGATGCCCTGACATTGCAAATGAGACTCGGCATGGTGGCACATACCTGTAATCCCAGGACTTGGGAGATGGAAAAACAGGAAGGATCACTACAAGTCTGATCTGTGTAGTGAGACTCTGTAGACCCTGTACTAAATACATAAAATAGTAACAATAACAACAACAACAACAGCAGAGTCTTACTATGTAGAGAAGCTGGCCTTGAACTCACATAGCCTAGGCTGGCCTCAAACTCAAGGTGATCCTCCTGCCTCAGCCTCCCAAGTGCTAGGATTACAGGTGTGTGCCACCATGCCTGGTTTAATTCTTTATTTTTTATAATTGCATTACAGTTAGACCAAACGTGAAGAGCATACAGGAATTTTGTGTTATGTTTGCAACTTCAAAATTATAATAAAACTTTTTAGAAAATCAAAGGGTAAAAATATTTCATGACAGAGAAATGGGAATCATCAGATGTTCGATACAGGAAATCTTAAGAGAAAAAAAGAACATAAGGAGAAACTGATAAAAAGATTAGCTCTTAAAACTGAAAATTCATTGAATTTAATAAAGATTAATAAAGAATGATATACATCTAACTTTATTACTGTAAATGGGTAACTCTAAGTGATAAATGACTGGGCAGAAGCAACAAGTTTACCCAAAGAAAGGCAAAGCAGAATAGTATCAGACTGCGCCCTGGGAGTCTGAGAGCAGTGCAACAAATAGGAGGAAAATGGGGGAGGGGAGCGTCTGCACAAGGGACCACAGTTGCCTCCCACGTCCACAGGGTATAGTCTTGCAAGATGCAGCGCCGCTCTGTCTTACTCAGTGGAAAACCTTTATCTAGATGATGCACAAATGGAGGACGCAGGAATGAGAACTTAGTGGTACTTCTTGATTTGCATGTTTCATCCTAATACAGTGCAAACTTCAGTGTGAGATTTCAAGAGACATGATTGTATTTCAGCCAGTTTTTGAAAGAAAAGAATTTTAACATGTACTGGTAGTACAAAGAATAGTGAAAAGACCAAATTGCTGGAGCATGCAGGGAAGAAATCAAGTACGAGATCCTGGCCTAAGCTGGAATGAGGATCCTTTGAACTCAGCAAACTATGGTCATATTACTGAAGAACAATGCAACATTTAGGGAACATCCAGGAGACCTACTGGTTTAAAATTTTTGTACAAGTTACTGAGAGAAAGGAATACATTCTTAGGTCAGGCTAATGATGGTCATGTCATTTCAGATTGTGTACATAGCTGGAAAAATTGTTTTAAAATCTACCTAAGGTGGAGAAAATATCTTTGTAATTCTGAGATATAAGATACTACTTATTTGCTTTAGTGTTACAAAATTCTGTAGTGCAAAACTGCAAATTTTCAAGTTTTCTTAATTTTTGTATCTATGTCTATGTGTATAATCACACATCATCACATAATTCCAAACTAATACATATATATATATATATATTTTTTTTTTGGTACTGAGAATCAAATTTAGGACCTTGGGCTTGCCAGGCAGGACTGTGCCACTGAACTATATCCTTGGCCCCCAAATTAACATTTCTTTATCCTAAACACAGAATTTATATTCTAATAATATATATCTGACACATTTTTGGGTAAAAGTATTAGATGCCCAAATTCAACAAAATATTGCTAATGAAGAAAATGTGTTGCACTTTAATTTCAAAATACTTACTTATAAGTTTTTCAATATTTTCTATCATATTTTGAATTTTTATTGAAAATTCCAGTCTATTTGGATCAATAAAGAGATTGGTAGGGAATTCTGAATATCTAAGGGAGAAAATAAAATATATTTCAGGAGAGCATAGTAACTAACAAAATACAGTTATGACTTATAACGAACAAATGTTTCATACTTATCATACATGTTTATATTCTCAGACTCAGTTGTGATTTCTGCATCTATTTGGATCAATTGAAAAAAAAAGTTAAAAATTAATCAATATTTGTAACAGCTAAATCACAATGTCATATATGTCAGTACTTAAAGAATAAATTGCAGGGGTCATCAGAAAAGTACTATTTAACAAGTATACCCAGGCACCCATATTTTGAGAATGAAGGTCTGAGATGGGAGTCCAAAAATCCATTTCTTTGTTTCATTTTGCTTTTGCAGAACATTTTGTAGCACGACAGACAAATGCTGTACCACTGAGCCACAGAAACTGCTCAAGAGCGAGTACTTTTAGCAGACGTTCCAGGTGGAGTTCCTTGATAAATAAGGTTCTTAGGCCCTCTCAGGGAGAGCCTGTGTATGTGCTGAGCTGCTCATGCTGAATGGTGGTACTGCTTGTGCCACAGGTGATCTATAAGTTCATTGCTCATTTTTACCATTATTCATCTTAAACTTTGTAAGAATAATAATCTATAAGTTGAAAATATACAAATCACCACAACTGTCATTCCTTATTTCCAGCTGTTAAGATACTTCCCTTCATTTTTAATAGCCTCATGTATCTTACCTGAAAGAACATCTTCAAGGTTTAAAGTGAAATTTTCTGATTTCTTGGCTTTGGGAAGCAGTTGTTCATGCAAGCAACTTTTTTCAGGACTGTATTCTGACATTTCATCTTCACATGTCATACATTTTTCAGGACCCTGTTTAAGCTCATAAAAATTCTCTTCAGAATTTTCTGAGGAATCACTTTCAGCAGGAATTCTCAAGCGTAGATTTACTTCAAATATTGGTGCATATGACTTTCTCAAATTCTTCTCCACTTTAATCTTATTTAAAATCTAATTTAATAGATACGTTAGTATACCAGTGAAAATATGTAATAGAATTCTTAGAGATAATATACTTTACATGGTAAATTATAAGTATAGTTATATACTTACATGCCAAAAATCAGAAGTTAAATGCAAAATATGTCAGAAATTTGAGATAGCTGTTACTATAGCTTTTCACAATGAAAGAGAGAGACAGTGTGTGTGTGTGTGTGTGTGTGTGTGTGTGTGTGTGTTGGGCAAGAAATTGTAGTTATTATAAATCATATTTTTAACTCCAAACATTATTATTTGCTTATATCAGGAAACCTACATTTTTCAGAGAACATCTTACCTCATTAATATCAGCATCTGTTTTTACTTCTGACTTTTCAGCAGGAAGAGCAGGTGTATTTGAGTTATTAATGAATTCTGCATAATCATTCATTATATTTTCACTGAGAAAAAAGCCATCCTTGCATGTTCTAGATTAAGGAATGAGAATAAAAAACAATCTTCTTAAAATCAATTTCTCATTAATCTTAAAATATGGTAGCGTACTTCTATAATTCAACAACAACAAAAACCCAGTTAAGAAATAGATGAAGGTGAGACCGGGCATGGTGGCACACACCTGTAATCCAGGCACTGGGGAGGCTGAAAACAGGAGGATTACGATGAGTCTGAGCTGCATAGTGAGACCCTGAACCAGATACATTAAAAATAAATAAATAAAAATAAATAGATGAAGGATTGGACTGGACATTTCTTGGAAGATATACAGTTAATAAGCACAAGACAATATGCTTAACATTGCTCAACATTAGGGGGAAACAAAACCACAATGATATCATTTGGAATATCATTTTACATCTACTAGGATAGCTATTATTAAAAATAAAGAAAATAGTACATGTTGGCAAAAGTTATAAGCCTGATACACTTCTGGTGCAAGTTAAAATGATACAGTCATTGTAGAGTAGAAAGTAGTGATGTGGTAGGGAAGTTTCTTAAAAAGTTAGATGTGAACTACCATGTGACTCAGCAACTGTGTTTCTAGGTATATTACCCAACGAACTGAAAACCAGATACTTACAAACCAGTGTTCACAACAGCATTATTCATAATAGCTAAAAGATGAAAATAACCCAAAAATCACTAACAAAGGAACAAATACAACAGGCTGATTACCTGAAAATTGAACATCCTTCAATTTTGAAACAGAATAAAATTTTTTTTCTTTATATTTGTCTACAAGGTATTCAGGGTCTCACTACTAGATCAGACTCACAATGTGCCTGTTTACAACCTCCTAAGTGCTGGGATTACAGGCACACACCATTATGTCCAGTCTCAGTTGCCATCTCAGTGTGCCCCGGGGACGGGGCTGGCATGGCAGGCCTGGGGATCGAACCCCAGGCCCCTGCACCTGCTTACAGGTACTTTAATCTGCTGAGCTATTTGGCCAGCCTTAAGAATGAAATTCTGATACATAGTTCAATATGAATGAAACTTAAAGATATCATGCTAAGTGAAATGAGCCAAATATAAAAAAATATTGTGTGATTCCACTTGTATGAGCTAAATGGAATGGATAGGTTCAGACATAGAAAGTATAGTATCATGCCTGGAGGTGAGAGGGTACAATTGAGTTACTGTTAATAGGTACAGAGCTTCAGTTTAGGAAAAACATTCTGGAAGTGGATGGAAGTGATGAGTGTACTATACTGTGAAAATAATTAATGTCTGTGAATTGCACACTCAAATCTTATTTATTTATTTGTTTTTGGCAGAACCAGGGATTGAACTTAGGCCCTTGCACTTGCTAGGCAAGTGCTTATTCTGCTGAGCCATCTCCCCAGCCCTTCAAATCTTATTTAAACAGAAGGTGTCATTAGAAAGTCACAGTACTCTGTAAGTCTTGAAAGAATAGAAAAGTAGAGCATTTTATTGGAAGGCATTTTATAGCCAATCATGTGGCTAAGAAGAGGGAGAAGCCATGAACAGACTACAACTGATAATGCACTTAAAATATGGAGGTTGAGAGGGACAGTTGGGAGTGAAGAGACAAATCATTTTATGGCCAAACCTTCCTGAACATACCCAGTCTCATCAAAAGACAAAAATGGGAAAATAGAGAAAGGGAAACAGGAAAACTACTAATAAAGTAAAATAAACAAAAAGTGCACAAGAAATGGAAGGCATGATAGTATGTTAGTTATTGGATGAAATGTAAACTGCTATGAGTTATAAACAGATCTGATTTTCCTAATACAAGACAGAAACTATCCAGTTCACTTAAAAATCAAAATCAAATCATGTTTTGCAAGATATATTCATCAGTTGTTCTTGTTCTGTCAGATTCTGGGATTTGAGTGTCATATGTCTTAGAGAGATTCTTTTCTGATTTTAGTTATTTGGGGTTCTACATGTCTCAACTATGTGTTAAGTTCTTTTATTTAGAAAGTTGTCTGGTATTTCTGTAAGCAGGATTTATGCCATTTGTGCTGGCTTCTGATTTTTCACCAATTCCAAATAATCTTAGTCTTTGTATCACCTAGCAGCTTTTGGACCTGCTTTTCATATTTTCTTGTTCTTTAGGTTTCACTCATTATTTGGTCACTGATTGTAGCCCTGACTTCTGTTCTCACATTGGTCAACTTCTGCTGCCCATACTTTTGATAGAATTTTTAATTTGCTAAATTCCTGTTTGGTACCTTTTTGTGGATTCTAATTTTTTTTCTGTGCTGTTCATCTATGTTTTGTGGGGTTTGTTTTTTTTTTCGGTTCACTTAGGTTCTTTTTTCTGTAGACTCACTGATTGTTTTATTAGGATTTTTATTTGCTTAGTTATATCTTCTCTGAGTTGCCAACCACTGTATGGATTTGTTTTGTTATTTCCCTGAGAATAATGCAGTACTATGGCTTTTGTTTTCCTCCCCTTAGATGGACTGGGGATCAGTGGGGGAGTAGGCAGTTTTTGGAAGCATTATGTTGCCTTTTCTTCTCATGTCTGTCTGTCTGGATGTTGTGCTGGGGTTGGTGTACTATAAAGTTGAAAGCTTTGTTGTGAATATGGAGACCATTCTGGTTAATTTCTACTTTTCAGCATTGCCTGCCTCTGGGAAGATTTTAATACTGGCCTTTGACTTTGTCCCAGGATCAAACTACCTCCCTTCATTAGGGAGGAGAGGATACAAAATATTTGGCCAGGTGCCCAAGTTTCCAAGACTAAACCACAGTATTACTAGTGAAGCCAAGGTAATCCAGATATTGTCACCCCATGAAAACCAACAAAGAGCAACAACTCTGCCACTTTTTCTAGAGCAATAATATCAACAAAAATAATAGCATAAAAAATTTTAAGAATTAACCACACAAAAAGAGACCAGCAATTGTAGCATAAACACTAAGATTAATCAAATGTTAACCTACAGTAAATATCTACTACATAGTTCTTGACTGCCACTAAAAATAGAACACTATTCAATAGTAGCAGAGTGTTAACTACTTACCAGTCAAACTATTCATTTTTTTTTGGATTTTTTTCCCATAATTTATTGAGAAATAAATAGCAATGAGACAGTTTCAAACCAAATTGGTAGGACAGTTTCAATAATTAACACATTGCATACATTATTCCTAGTGGTTAATTGCTGTACAAGATGTGGACAAGATATCCTATTTACAAACACCATTAGAACAAATCCCTCTATTCATTAAGAGAATGTAACTATATATCTATCCTAACCATTTTAAATACACAGATACAA